TTTTTAGTACGTTATTTGCGCCTGGGTACGAGGCTGATTAAAGTTAACCAGCATGGCAGGCTTTCTGGGTTTGGAGGAGGGTTTGGGGAGTTAAAGTTTACCAGGCTAGCCACATGTACGCATTGCGTACCTATTTTTTAATTTTTTAATAGTATTTTTGGAGGGGATGGGGGGGGGGAGCGGTTTTTCCACCATATCGGTGATATTATTTGTACTGATGTTGCGAAGGCCGCCATTTTGCTTTAAGAACCTTGTATACCCAAGCCTACGCGCTCCTATCGATCAGTATATAGCGCGAAGGTCTGAGCATGAGAAAAATTTCAAATATTAAACTGTTTTAACAAATTCAGAGGCGGCAGAAAATCGAGAGGCGGGCGGTGACGCTAACCAAGTAATTTTTTTTTATTTGGCCTTATATATGATTTTGACAAACTCAAACCGTTTTCGGTGTCTGAAATTCAGACACCGAATTTATCTCAGTCTGCATGGTTAAATATGGTATTTATATATGATTTTGACAAACTCAAACCGTTTTCGGTGTCTGAAATTCAGACACCGAATTTATATTTATATCTGACAATGGTTGGTCTATTTATATATATGAGTGATAATCTGAATCCAGTTTAAGTCATGTAAGCATATGAATACTGCAAATTTTCACTTTAGCATTAATGATTTCAGAATGGTGTCTCGTTTAGACAAAAATGTTGTTTTTTTGCAGTCTCTGCAAAAAAATAGTATTTCGATTTGCTAAAATGAAATCTTCGCACTTTTTGTTATTTTTTTAAATGTTTGCAGAAAAAAAAATAGTTTGGAATTATTGAAAATAGTTTGGAACGCGTTATTTCATCGAGATAATCTAATTGGCGCGGCATGCGAGTAGCGACTCAATAGCGCGAGGCGCGACTCGAAAGCGCGAGGCGCGACTAAATTGGCGCGACTCGTGGAAAAAGGCGCGACTTGTGAAAAAAGGCGCGACTCGTTAAAAAAGGCGCGACTCGCCAAAAAGGTTAAGTAGGTTAACTTTTAGTTTAATTTAAATTAGTTTAACCTCGGTTTTTCGCTCCAGATTTGTATCGTATTTTTATACCAGTATACTTTAATCGGTTGCTTGGCATAACTCTGAGCTACCAGTTTTTTGGATGCAGTAGTTATCTCACTACGTATCTGTAATGTAGTATGCCTTCAAATAACAAATAGTCCATTTGGCAACCGAATCACATATTACATATATGACAATTATATTCATATTATAATAATATGCTATAGTTGTAATTAAAACTGCGAAAATTCATTGTACATGTTCCGTTTCAATATGTCAACAAGTCAACAACTATTGCAAACAACAAATAATGGGTTTCAATCAGCAGGTATTTTCTGCCGATGGCGGGTAACGATGAATTATTGACTGGTGGAGGGTAACGATGAATTATTCTGTATGTCCAAATGTAAATCGGCTAGCCTTGCAAGCATGATTAAAGTATACTGGTATAAAAATACGATACAAATCTGGAGCGAAAAACCGAGGTTAAACTAAATTAAACTAAAAGTTAACCTGCTTTTAACCTCTTTTAAAATCCTTTTAGCGAGTCGCGCCTTTTTTCACGAGTCGCGCCTTTTTTTCACGAGTCGCGCCTTTTTTCACGAATCGCGCCTTTCTCCACGAGTCGCGCCAATTTAGTCGCGCCTCGCGCTTTCGAGTCGCGCCTCGCGCTATTGAGTCGCTACTCGCATTCCGCGCCAATTAGATTATCTCTATTTCATCTTATGCTAAAAATGGACATATCTCAGAGGCCTTATACAAAAGTCAGTTGACATACATGCTATTACATGTAAATTGTAATTGCTGGTAAGTCAATAGACAATATGTCCAGACAACAATCCACACTGGGTTGCTCTAGGAATCTTATTACAGTAAGCCTGATTTAACAACATTCTGCGTTTGTTTTTAAACTATAAACATCTAGAAAATGAACACTATATAAACTCATCGTCTTGGCTGGCTTGGCAAACAACCATAAACTAACAAATAAACTATAAAGTACATTTTGACTCCCTGTATAAATAAGGCATTATTGACGAATAGATCGGGTGGGCTATTATTAAAACTGCCCGTAAATTCATGAAATCATATTGTTTCAATACCTCAGACTCAGAGCTCTTAAGTATATATACATCTTGTCTCTTTGTATTAAGACATTATTAAACGTTCTAAACGAGCATGCGGACAATGGGATATTTCGGGCAGTATTAAGAAGCACCGATAAATAAAAGCACATTGCTTGCCTCTAGAATAAACGTCAAACAGTTCATCGCCTTGATGGGTATTAGCAACAAAGAAATAAAGCCTTACTAACCTGGTTTCTTCGGGAAGTATTCGTATATTTTGCATTTTCAGATCCAGAGTAAAAAGCTTGCAAATTAGGTGCACGCAATTCAATATTTTTGTCGCACTCCCCCCGTCCGTCCCCCCCAGAATTACGACATCTGGACAGACCATAGACAATCAAAGGAATGGACTGGAAACGCCTGGCAAAACGAACGTGGCATCCGTGATACGGGCTAGCACGTATCAATTCATCAGTTACCGTGGCAACTGGCCTGTAAAAAAGTTTAAAAAATGTAGATTTTGCATATATTTTTTTCCCTTTTTTTTAACAAACGCAAAGGTAAAAGATATTTTTTGGCGGTACCAAAAGCAGAGAATATATGCCAAGGTGAGTACGTGTATATTTTTAATTTTCCCTATAAAAACAATCATTATAACTTCGGTTTTTCACAACGTTGACAAAACAATTACGCACGTATATTACATCTCTCCCTGTGTGGTTATATTTCGAACCCTGGAACTTGGCGACAAAGCTGTCACTTGAACATATTTTGAACAAGAATAGACTAATGAGTTCCACTATCGCTTTTTTAAACTTCTTTTTGGCAAAACAAACTCAAAAATCAATATTGAATGCGTGTGCATTGTCTTTGAAAACACAAATGTCGCTATTTTTGTTTTTCGAGTATACACTTACTTCGAACCCTGTAACTACAGTTTTAAAACAGTTTAGGATTTTAAAGTCACATATTTTTAACAAGAATAGACTAGTGAGTTCCACTATCGCTTTTTTAAACTTCTTTTGCGTTAATAAGGCTAAAAATAATCAATGACTGTGTGCATACTATTTTTGACAACACAAATGTCGCCAGATTTGTTTGCGAAGTATGCACTTCATATTTCGAACTCTGCAACTATAGTTTTAAACAGTTTAGGTTTTTAAAATACCTATTTTGAACAAGCACGAGTTCCACTACCGTTCTTTACTTCTTTTTTGGTCAAACAAACCCAAAAATCATCATTGAATGAGTGCATGCGTACTGTTTTTGACAACACAAATGTCGCCATTGCCCTGGTGTTTATGTGCATGGGTACGTACTGTATTAATATACTTCCAATAAAGTTCAAACGATTTTTACATTAACTTGACACCTCTTATTCAAATTAAACTTTAACTAAGTCAAAATATGTGACTTTAAACAGACATTTGTGTTTTCAAAGACAGTGCACACGCATTCGATATTGATTTCTGAGTTTGTTTTGCCAAAAAGAAGTTTAAAAAAGCGATAGTGGAACTCATTAGTCTATTCTTGTTCAAAATATGTAACCTTAAAATCCCAAACTCTTTTAAAACTGTAGTTACAGGGTTCGGATTTAGAACAACAAAAATTGACATCTTTTCGTAGTCGCGCAAGGTAAGCTGTTAAAAAATATATTTATTACAAAATTTGTATATCGCAGGGATTTGTGAACGTCCTAGTGGAATCAACATTACATATGAGAGTATAACTATATGCCTTAGCAGACAAGTGACAGCTTTGTCGCCAAGTTCCAGGGTTCGAAATATAACCACACAGGGAGAGATGTAATATAATTGTTTTGTCAACGTTGTGAAAAACCGAAGTTATAATGATTGTTTTTATAGGGAAAATTAAAAATATACACGTACTCACCTTGGCATATATTCTCTGCTTTTGGTACCGCCAAAAAATATCTTTTACCTTTGCGTTTGTTAATAAAAAGGGGGAAAATATATGCAAAATCTACATTTTTTAAACTTTTTTACAGGCCAGTTGCCACGGTAACTGATGAATTGATACGTGCTAGCCCGTATCACGGATGCCGCGTTCGCAGGCATAGCGTTTTGCCTAGCGTTTCCAGTCCATTCCTTTGATTGTCTATGGACAGACACAAGATCTCGATCTCGCCTATACATAGATCGGCGCGAAAGACTGGGTCGAGTGAGCGAAACCTTCATGTCAAGATTAGGAGTGCTGCCTTCGGCAGCAATTAGCATTAATAGATGATATAGATCAAATTCTCATGCTATAGGTATAGCTCTATATTTTAGTCATACGCGTATATACATGGATACGCAGTCAACTAGTTATTGTGGCTTTATGAAACTTACTGTAGGCCCGTTTTATACGTCGTATTTTGGTTGAGTCGAATGCAATTAAGACAATAGATAATGAGATGATAAACCTCATTAAGCTCCATTATCTATTGTTTGAATTGCATTCGACGCGACCGAAATTCGACGTATAAAACAGGCCTTACCGCCTTAAGGCAGATTTCCATTCAGTGGACGGACGAGGTTGGACGGACGGACGCAACGGACGAGGTTGACTGCACGCATTTGAAAAGAAAGTGATCACAAAAAGTCGATCGCGCGACTTTTTCCACTGAATGGAAATCCGCCTTTAGGCTTAGGCCTGTTTCAAACGTCGCGCTTCTCATGTGCCGAATGCATTAGAAACAATAGATAATGAGGCATTTCAGCTGATTACTGATCTATTGTTTTTAACACGTTCGGCACATGAGAAGCGCGACGTTTGAAACAGGCGTTAGGATGTTTTCAGGGGTGATTCTGGCTTAATCGAAGAAATTGTCTGCCAATCTTTTTTGGAGACGAGACCATGTTTTCTCATGTTGACGTCCGATTTTCGTCATGGGATTCAAGGTTGCCATTGAAATTTCCTATGATCGCTCAAAGTTTATCACGCGCGCAGAGTTCGGTAAGAAAGCAAACACATGTTTGCTTGCGCATTTATATGTATAGTTTGGTATGACCGTGTAACGGTGTAATGTTCCTCACAACCAGACATTGGTGTTTGACAGATTATGATTAACAAGACGCCTGCTCAAGGCGTTCGCTCCGTCGGTAAAGGGGAAGGGCAGCAACAAAATTGCGTGGGGGTGATGTAGGAAGTTGATGAGGTGTGGTGAGCACCTTATTATAACCTTGGCATTTTGTCAAAGAGTAACATAATAGGTATATCTCATGCAGTACTTAATTAATATACTTGGTTTAGTGTACAGTGTATATTATTAATTATAGATCGTATACAGTTCTACTTCAAATGTATAAATAGTACACACTTTCACATCTGATTCCCAGAAGGCTTGGGATAAGTATCATTGTGAAATAATGTGATATATAGTATCTGATGTTCCATCAAATTTCCACTGTGTTTTATGTCAATATTGTATTCTGGGTTGAAAAATTTTTCTTTTAGGATAGAGAATGTTTCACGAGAACTAGTAACAGTTTCCAATATTCTTCAGGGACATAACCAATAACCATCAATCCATTATACATTAATCATTATAATTAATGAAGAGCATAGCCTTTGATAACCTCCTGACAACCAAGGTAATGAGCAAAATTTCACAGATGACATAGTCATAGAGAACTGATATGTTGTGCAGGTCTAACATTACCGAATCATCAATAGCACAGTATAAATATATATAAAGGGCCACGTCCATATTCATGTTGCGACAAGTAACGTCGAATCGACATTATTTCATCCACCTACTCACCCCAGATAACGTTGATCGGATCGATATTCAGTCGTATTTTGACCGATAAACTCACAATTATTGTACTTTACTACTTTGTATTGTCATTGGGCATTGGCTGGGATTGTATTTTGATACAATATTTAAATAGTGATTTGGTTCTTGCCGGAGTGGCAATAAACAATAACAACCAAGATATAGCCGTTCTCAAAATTAAAATGTCCATAATACATGTCATATTCTTGTTGGTAGAAGTTGGCAACCAAGGTAAATTATAAAACATTTTTTTAATGGTGACCTTGTTTACATATATGTCTACTGACAGTCTACGAAATTAGAAAAGTTCTGTTATAGATTTCGTTGAACTTAGCCTTCAGCCTTGTGCATATAGCCTATATAAGCGTAAAAAATTTGGAAGTATAGAAGAAACAGAATAGCATGTTAAAATCTTATCATGCTTTCAACTGTCTGACTCTTGGTGACCTAATAGCCTTAATTCAACCTGATTCGTTCTTTCTTGTTGTTGCACCAACAAAAATACATTAATTCGTAAAGAGTAAGTTCAGAGTACAACACAACATGAAAAACACAGTACAATTCGGTGAAAATTTAGCGAAATTGCCAGAAATATTTGCGGCCACTCATCACGCAACCGCCATTTTGAAACTGAACTATATAGGTCACTGAAGCGTACTTGCAACTGAATCACCCATAATATCCATAAAATACACCGATATACTAGGCCGTTTGCTGTGACCTCGAAAAGTGCCTAGAAAACGATTTTTATTTCACCTGCAGTCTTGGAACTGAAATATTTTGCGGGAACTAACACTTTCGAACACGCTGAGTTCAAATCCGAAAAATTCCCGCTCTATAAACCTGCAGTTTTCTGACAAACTGCAATTTTATCTTCACTAATTTCACGACAACTTTTTTCATTGTTCAACGACACGGATCGATGACGACAAACGATTATGTCCCTCAAAAGGACCAATTTCTATTAACCAGTCTTCCTTTTAATTAACAAAAGACCGGTTTTGCTCGAATCATTTTGAGTTATGTTATATTATGCGTGTTGGACGTAAACAACAACATCTTGTCTACAACTTTGGGAAGGTACAGATAAAGCTTTCTGAAATCCTCAGTGAATGGCTCTATCTCTATAAAATTACAAGGACGTTAATGCTTAGTTTTATGGCTATGTCTCTGGGCTGAGAAATAATTCTTTACATGCGATCAAAATGTTTTATACAACGATATGAAACGGTAAAGTTATGTGATGGATCAGCATTTAAATTTCCAACACAGTTTTTGAGACGTAATTCAAGAGGTAACTTATCATTGCATTTGAACTATTACATCAGTTGGTATTATTCTGTGCGATTAGCGAGTATTATTGGAAAGAGGGCTTCCATATACGTTGTAATCACCAAATAAACAACTCATGCGCACATCTCTCCACTTCGTCGTAAGTTTACAGAGCAGAGTTTATACTTTGGCACTGATATTTGTATTTGCAGATGTGAACATCAATTCTTCTAGTTTAAGATTATTTTAGAGTGATCCTGTCGTAAGTCTTCTATCAGCAACCCATCGACAATATTTCATTTTAGTGTTGGCTTTGCTGTTCCGTTGGCTTCGCGTTACTTTTGTTTTAAATTCCTTGATCGCGTTAAAAGAGTTATTTCTCAGCTCAGCCCAGAGACATAGCCAAAAAACTTAACATTAACGTCCTTGTGATTTTATTGAGATAGAACCAGAACTGTGGATTCTAGAAAGCTTTATCTGTACCTTCTCAAAGTTGTAGACAAGATATGTTGTTTACGTTCAACATGCACGCATAATATTACATAACTCAAAATAATTCGAGTAAAACCGGTCTTTTGTTAAAAGGAAGACTGGTTAATAGAAATTGGTATTTTTGAGTGACATAATCGTTTGTCGTCATCGATCCGTGTCGTTGAACAATGAAAAAAGTTGTCGTGAAATTAGTGAAGAGAAAATTGCAGTTTGTGAGAAAATTGCAGGTCTACGGAGCGGGATACTTAAACTGTATGGGACACTTGAACTTGTAAAGTGTAATTAGTGATTGAGGTAAATAATTTAATATTATAATTTATGAAGCATACTAACGGTCCTACTAAACACGCTTTCTGAATTACTTGTACATATTGCCTTGGACTGAATTAGACAATAAACAAAATGCCGCGATGAGATATTGGAATGCTGGAAATCCTTATTTATCCAAGTACTGGACAAACATGCCCCACTTAGAATAAAGAGAGTAAGAAAATGGGCAGTGTACTTTCGATAAATAACGATATCAAGGCTAAGTTATTTGAAAGGGATTTTCTGAAGCGTAAAGCGATAAAAACAAATGAAGTAAGTGATTGGAATAGGTACAAGTCTTCTAGAAACGCAGCTAATATTGCCTTGCGTCATGCAAAAAGAGAATACTACTGTATGCCTGGAAAACGATTAATGATATCTTAGGACAAAATACAATCAAAATACTATTCATGAAATTAATTAAAACTATCTGGAAAATCTTTCACTTCGACAGAGGAGTTAAAAGATGTTTTTAATGAATACTTCACAAACATAAGTCCTAAGCTTGCTCAAACGATCGAGCATGACAGCGATAGTAACTTTGGAGACTTTATTACCAAACGAGAACCCGCTAGTAAATTTTCTTTTGAGGCTGTAAATAAATTTACGGTTTACAGGAAATTAATATGAAACTGGACGTACTCGGGAACAGCTAACCGTATTTATATGTACGGATTCCCGTGTGACAAACATGCAGGAGCCGGTTGTTCAAAAGCTGGTTAACTTAATCCTATAGCTTAACGAAAAATATGAAAGCATCCCAGCATCTTGTTTATGCAGGCATGGAAAGTTTTGAGATAAACGGATATGCACAAATACACAAACCGAAACACCAGGTTAAATTTTAACTTATTGCCAACCTGATAGGGGCTCCATTTTATATAGTTCATTTTATAAAGACCCTTTAAGACCTTGGGGTTCCGTTTACACCCATTTTGGAATTCGGGTCCAAATATATACTTTTCTCTTCGTTCAAAATGATGTTTCGTGCATGAATATATTCTCTTTAACCTTCACCCCAAAAGGGTTAGAATTGGGGACGTGATTGGGGTCAAGATAAAAGAGAAATATATTCGTGCATGGGCGAGACAATTACCAAAATTTTGTCCCAGGCCCCACAAAATCACTAGCAAAATTTCTAGGACAAATCCTGTGAAAAAAAATAGGATGAAGGTGCTATGCTGCAGCTGCTTATTGGGTTCACATATAATATTGTTTGAATCTAGAAAGAATATTAGTGTATAAAAATGGACGATTGTGGCTTAATTTGGTAAATGTGAACCTGTTTTATTATTTTGGAGGATGGGCAAATCTTGAAAATATTGGAATATTAAATAGGACTCTGATGAAGAAAATGTAACTTTTCTGAACGCCTCCATTTAACCATTCAGCTAATTATATTCCTTAAACCCTTGGTGCTTATGATTTCCAAACATTTGATTAAGGCTCACTATCTATAATGAAAACATCTTTTTAGATACAAATCGAAATTCAAGTAACTCCGGTTCATACATCAAAAATGTGTATAAAGACCTTGACGACAGATGTTTGAAAGTTATATGGAGTGATGACACTGCTTCAAGATTTTCTTACAATTTTCTACGTGATAACTGCAAGTGTCCTGAATGTTTTGAGTCATCCAGTAAACAAAAGCTTTTCAACACCGCAAGAGATCTTATGATAAGCATCCAAATTGAAGAAGCTGGTATCTCAGAAGATGGTCGGTATCTGAAATGCAATTGGCCGGGCGGTCATGAGAGCAGTTATTCATTAAACTGGCTTCAGAACATGAGGACGCCAGAGGAAAATGAACTTAGACAGCGGAATTCAGACAGCCTTGTGAAAGATGAGCTCATTCTCTGGAATCGAGAAATGATGCAAGATCAGATACTATTTCATGATTATAATGTCTTGATGAGTGAGGATAAAAGTTTGTTTGATTTGTTGTATTGTCTTTATCAATATGGAATCGTTGTGATTGACAATGCACCTACAAGAAATGGTGTCCTGCTGGAATTGGCAGCTAGGATTGGATATCACAAGAGGACACATTATGGGTAAGATTGCTTACCTTTCATGCATGATAGCCTATAGCTGTGCACCAATGGATCCGGTTGAACCCTCTATCCAATGTTTTTCCTTATTACTGACCGCATATTAATAAAGTATACAACAGTGTAACGAACAAGTCGTGTTTGATTTGTTATACCATGCCCCTAGCTCAAAGTTGGCATAACCCTGTTTATAGCATGGCAGTTTGGTTTGGCATGATTAGTAGATTTATTCCAACTAATTTTATCTGTAGACGGAAACCATTTTGGGATTTTGGCTCAAGAAGTTAGAATAATTTTAATGGGAGTTTTCGTTTTAAGGTTATAAAGTACTGCGGAAACGTAAGGTACTGTAAAAACGCTATGGAAATTCAACAGGCTGTCGTGCATCATAAACTTAGCTAAACAATTCAATTGTTACATAGGACGAATTAAAGAACAGTTATTTAGCTTTTCTATCATACTTTTTTAAAACCGTAACGATGAGAAATCGCCAGATACTCGTCAAATAAAAATTGCCGATTGAAATCACATTCTTCCACCGTTGGGAATTGAACATACATTAATCATGCAAAGTTAATCAATCCAAAAGCAACGAGAGCCTGCTACAAGGTATTTGTTTCGTAAAACGTTTAGATTACGAATGTTCTCTGTTCAGTGGTTAATTTAACCATGTTTAATGGACGTTCTTATTGTCTCAGTAAGACGAAGATTGACGAGTTGAGCTCATTTTAGATAACTTAACATTCAACTTTAATTTCCACTTGGGAATTGTCTATGTTTCGTTTTCCATGCAATTCCCAATGGTGGAAGAATGTGATTTCGACAATTTTTATTTGACGAGTATGTGGCCATTTCTCATCGTTACGATTTCAAAAGCTACATAACTGTTCTTTCGTCCTATGTAAAAATTGAATTGTTTAGCCATGTTTATGATGCACGACAGCCTGTTGAATTTCAATAGCGTTTTTTTAGACACCCTGTATAAATTGAATGAATCCCATGCAGGCATTTCTTTTGGGGACATCTGTACTTTTATTAATTTCCGATCTCGTTGCCACGCATTAATAAGCACCGCTAAAGAATAGACAAGTGCCCATCCATTGTCAATCCTTTCAACCTCGTGCATGTGAAAATATCCTCTCTTTCCCTCAAAATAACCCGTAAGGCATGCACTGTACAAGAATTGTATGGCGATGTTGCTTTGACAAATAGAATATTGATTTCATGCTGTTTTCGCAAATACAAAACAAAAAATATTAATAGCAACGACCCCAATGCAATGTATCAGATAATTATTTTTTCTGTCTATTTAGAGAGGATTTTGATGTGAAAGATATTGAAAATCCTTCCAATTTGGCTTACACTAACCACGGTTTACCTCTTCACATTGATCTGCCATTTCTTAAGTATCCTCCTCATGTAAGTTTCATTAAATTCTATGAAAACTTGTCACCATCAAAACTTGTGCAGGAAAGTGTGGTAAAGAAAACCTTGTATAGAAAACTTGGCAAAACAAAATGGTCAAGGAAATCCTGTCAAGGAAATCTTTTAAGGAAATCTTGTCAAGAAGAAAGGGAATCTGCATTAAGAAAACTAATTAATGAAAGGCTGCGGCAAGAATAATGATAAGAAAGATGTGCATGCATGTTTCTAAAGATTTAGAATATTGTCTTTTATTATTATTTTTATTATATTATTTTAGATTCAACTGTTACATTGCATCCACGAAAATACCTTGGGAGGCGATAACATATTTGTTGACGGATTTAATGTTGCCAAACAAATACACGAGAACCACCCTGATGCTTTTGATGTTTTGAAAAGTTTTCATGTACGATTTGTTGACTTTGGTACAGATGCCTATGGAGAATTCGCATTGGGTTGTTCTCATCCTATTATTAAGTATGTTGCTAGTTTTCATAATTCTAAGGAAATTTAAAATTTTACTAACGATCAAATTTCTTCCCCAGCGCCCCATTTGGCATTTGACCATGCAAGTGCCCTCCCTATATACATAAAATGAAAATTCAAAGAGAAAAGGGTACATATACTTAGATTTTGTCATACCATATTTAATAAACAACTAGAAATACATGCATGCAACAACCCCTCGCCCACATTTCCCAAACATTGTTTGAACATGAAGTATTCTAATTACGCCAACATGGAACGCAGGGTCGCGTTGTTCGCGTCATGTTAGCCATGGCAACAAGATAATTGTTTTCTTAATTTTTTGTTCAAAACGGCGAAAACAAATTAATGTTTTACACTTTTAACCACATAACTATCGATTTCTAACATATATAAAGTAGGTATGTTATTTTGCTTTCTATGGGCTTTATTATAACGTAAAATTCAACATAAAACGCTTCGTAAAACGTTTTCAAATGTTCGTTGAAATGAACTGCTTTTTGGCGATAAACTCTTCTTAATCAACTTATTAATAACACTCGTACTTTGAAGTGAAATAATTTTAAGTCATACAGGTCGCTCTTGAAAATAATTTTCTCCTTTGAGCTTTTATAAAAGAAATTAAAACAAGCTAATCCAAAGAAACTTTCACATAGAATGAAAAGGAAAGCTGTAGCCTGTACATGTTCGAGGCCTTCAGGGGAAAACTGGACTGCAAATCCATACATAAACAGTAAAAATAAACTTACCCTATAGAATACTTTAGGATTTTCCATACCTATCATTTCGTTAAAATTTGAAAAAGGTGATTTACAACTTATTGTGTGAAAAGATGTCCAAGCTTTCTGTCATGCATGTTTTTTTTTAATCTTTGCTTCCTAGTTCCTTCACTCCTGGCAAACAGCTATATTTTTGAGATCAGTGAGATGACCACCCATGCATAGCCATGCGCCCGCGATCATTGATGAACTTTAGACTTCGGTAGTGGCTTCCTTTCCCCTGGTCACAAGTTTATTAGTTGTAAAACTAGCCTCGTTAAATAAAGTTTAAATGAAATGAAACGAAATAGCCGAGCGGAATTAGTACCCTCGCCACGGGCTTCGCCCTACGCGCTCCGCGCGTGGCTCGGGGATAACAGGGACTCATTATCTTACTTTTTATTCACGTTGATGGAGATTTATGCACTTTCACTGTGAGTGAACGTATCGTTGTTTCGCTCAACCAAAAATGCTTTTATGTATTAACCTGAAAAAAAGATTTGTGCACCATGCATGCCCTTCTCAACATCAATTCTAGTTCGATTATACATATCTTCCTGACCATGTTAATATTCCTATCAACTATGGTTATCCATTCATTAGATATTTTCAGACACAAAGCACATTAGCTGCACAGGTGTTGCCAAAAACGCTGTTTGAATAAAATAGAAATATTCCAATTGGATTGTTGATACTTCAGTAAACCGACAAAACTTTGTTTCTCCCGACAAAACAAAGGAAGCAATTTTCTTTTTGCATGAGGGCATGGTTTACCAAAGATTGGATTGATCATAGCATCCCTCAAAGAATGTTGGATCACATGCACTGTTATTGCAAAGTTTCAGTTGAATTGACACAAAAATACTTCCACCTTTTTGTTCCATTTAGTTTTTAGCGTTATTTCAGTGTATTTTGTATATTTTGTACATTTAGTTTTTAGCGTTATTTCAGTGTAATTTGTATATTTTGTACATTTAGTTTTTAGCGTTATTTCAGTGTATAGCAAATAATTCCAGCAACAATCAATCACATAAGGCACACGTCCAAACGTGCTGACAAAATATTAGAAATAATTACGTATTTCAATTTTGAACATACGCGACACGACAAGAAAGCGATTAAAAACTTGGCGTTACTATCATATGTAAATGCTACAATCAGTGACAAAACACTTTGGACAAAATAACAAAAAAGCGTAAGTTTACAACATAATCGCCCTCCGCACCCCCGTTCAATGTTGTATGTGGAAATACCTGCGCAAAATGTTCCTTGCCAGCTACCCAACATTGTTTTGGGTGGGGGAGGGAGGGATAGTGTTTTATGCTGAACAGTATTTGGAAATGCGGAGATATGTATATATTATATCACTGTCCAAAAACCTTTTGTTACTGATTAGTCGGTTGGACCACCTGTGGTGCCCACCGACTGTAGGTTTGCTTTTGGTACGCCACAAAATGACAAATTGCGTCATTTTAATTACGTAATTCTTACGAAATCAAAATGGCGACCATGGAATAGCATGTAAAAGTTCGCTATTGACTATTTGGTCCAGTCGTGTCTTTTTTTTGGGGGTTTTTGAAAGAAATATATTAAGAATTCACTAAAAGTTACCACGACGTTTCACTTTTATGTTATCGAGGAGGAAAGTGGATAATTTGTATATAATTTTATATATTTAAAGTTTGTATCGCGCGGCGGAGATATCGGGCGCGCAAATCAGTTTTGACGCTTTCTATATATTTACTATTGAATTTTCGAAATCTCCGGCGCGCAATTTCCAAACTTTCTAGTCAGTAATAATATTTTGGTCTTTTGGATCTACAGAAATTAAACTTAAATTCAGACATCGCCTGCTTGGTATGGTATGGTATGGTATGGTATGGTATGGTATGGTATGGTATGGTGTGGTAAAACTTTATTCAAACACGCTAGCCTCGATCAACGTGAGCTGCTTTTCATGAGGGGCGTCACACAATAACTATTTACAAATTAAAGAATATACACATTAAGCTATATGCAAGTTAAACTATATAGAAAAACAAGGAAGCAAAGGATAATAGAAAAGGAATTATATAAAAACTTAACAATTGGTGCCATCCAAAGGAGGTGTTCATGCCTGACGTATTTTTCGTTTAAAAGAAGAAAGGGTTTAAGAATTTTTTGAATCCTCAGAAAGATGATTCCATTGCATGGCACCACTATATCGAAAAGTTTTCTTTAAAAATTCACTATTAGGCTTAGGTAAGCATAGGTCTGTATCGCTACGTACTACGCAAATCATAAGACTGAATTGTGCTTCTTTTGTAGAAACACTCGTTTAGATTAGGGGCATGCAGTGTGGTTATTAAGTATTTTGTACATCATTATTAATTTATTTTCTAAACGTTTCACATTCAGTAGACCTAATATTATAACTGGTTCCAGGAATCACTCTAGCTGCACGGGATTGAAATTTTTGTAGTTTATCTTGAAGTGTTTTTCCACAGGTATCGCGCAGAGGGGAACAATAATCAAAGTAGGGTTGAATTAATGCTTTGTGAATTGTTTGCAGAGTTGCAGGTGGGACAAAGGGCTTTATACGTTTCATAGCCCCAATTCCAGCACTGACTTTAGAACATACCGAATCGATGTGTGCATCCCAAGTTAATTTTTCGTCAATGTCTATCCCTAAACATGTATATTTGCTGGTTCGAGGGACTGGGGTATTATTCATCAATATTGGCGTATTTCCAATTTTATTGATGAGGTTATAAGATGACGCAATAAACATGACTTTTGTTTTGGTGGGATGATGTTGAAGCTTATTTTTAAAAGCCACCTCTGAATATTATTTAGGTCATCATTTAAATTTTGAGCTAATGTCTCAATTCAAAATCATATGTGGAAGACGAAATTTGAGTATCATCTGCATAGAGATACGGAGTTGTTTTTTTCAAGTGATCTGGCATGTCGTTTACATAAAGTAAAAATAACAATGGTCCTAGAATTGAACCCTGGGGGACACCGCATCTTATTTTCTTCGGTAAGGATGTGTGGCCATTTTTGCTTCTTTCGAGTCTACATCCTATTCCTATTAAATAGCATTGAAGATTAAGGTTCATTGGGACAAAATGTATTACCAAAAGCTGAAAAGGAGGAACTCAGTTTCCTGATATCGTGCGGAAGTAACTTGGAATCTTTCTTGGCACAATAACATATACGCCCGTATTCTAAAAGCTCACTCACACTCAAACTCACACTCAATGAGTGGAGGTTCAATCTGAGCTTCTTTTGAGTGTCAATGCTGTTTTTGAATAGCTGGAGGGTGAGTAGTCACATAGTAAGGTATGACACTAGCCCTCCAGCTATTCAAAAATACTGAATGACACTCGAGAAAAGCTCAGATTGAATCGAACTTCCACTCATTGAGTGTGAGTGAGCATTTAGAATACGGGCGATAGTATTATTCCATGCAGTTCGCCACCTTTATACTGCACACTGTTATGTGTAAAAAATTAATTTTTTTAAATGAAATTTTTAACGATTCCCAGCAAGCCTTTCGCGCTCGTATTCGACTTTTCCGCTTTTCTCGGGGACAACCTTAATTGAAATAGCTGTATAAAATTATTAACTTAAGAAAGTAGAAGTAGAATATTTAGCTGACCTTTGATTTTGTGCAAGGTGTTTGATATTCAAATTGAACTTTTCCTACCTCATGAACAGGTACCTGTATCTTAGGGGCTGTTTACATATTGGAAGGCAGGGTGATTTTGATATATTGAAATAAGTCACTTGGCTAAACGAAACTTCAAATGCTAGTTAACAGAACTCAAATATTGTAGAGAAGATCTCGTCTTGGCAAAGCGGATGATATAAACAGCCCCATATTCAGCAAATTTTGCATGCTGCCTTTGATCCCTTGGGGGTGAGGCAGCACTTTCCTTGCGATAGTAATTCCTAGTAGTAATATATTTTTCAGTTCACTTCAACACTTCGTCATTAGTGGCAATCTAATTTATGATCTAACTGATCACTTACCTAATTTTCTCATACTAAACAAATATTCATCATTATCAACCAATGTTAATGTTTTCAAGAGGGATTACTCATAACGTAATGAATCAGCTTTAATTTCGGATGTACAAGAGATTGACAATAGCTGCGTGTCGTGAAGTATCAACTACCATCTCATTGCCACAATCCTTCAGAATTATTTGATTCACTTTATGGCAAAATAACTGAAATTGTTGATAAGCATGTACCCATAAAACAACTATCTAAAAGGGAGCTAAGACTTCAGGCTAAACCTTGGCTAACAATGGGAATAAGGAATTCTATCAAAGTTAAGAATAACTTATACAAGAAGTTTTTTAAAACAAAATCGCCTTATTACTATAGTCGATTTAAATTTTATCGAAATAAAATAAACCATTTGTTGCGCATTGCCAAAAGAAAATATTACAATGATTATTTTAGTAAAAATGTCGATAATAGCAAATTAATCTGGAAAGGTGTTAAGGAAATTATACATTTAAAAACAAAAAATAATTATATCCCAAGCAAGATCATGGATGGCAACCGAGAAATTATTGATAACAAAGACATGGCTAATTCTTTTTCAAAGTACTTGGCTAATATAGGGAGTAACTTAGCAAACTCTATTCCAGCCGTTGACAAGTCTTCACTTGATTATGTAGATGAATCAATCTCTGATAGCTTTTATATTTACCCAACATCAACTACAGAAATCCAAAATGAAATCTCAAGTTTAAAAATTGGAAAAGCTTGTCGACCTTTCAGTATACCACTAATTTAGGGTCATGAAAATTCTAAAGTTTGTTGTATGTAAACCATTGGAAATACTCTGCAATGTTTCTTTTTCATAATTAAGGAATGGTACCAAGCACAATTAGCTCGAGTAATACCTATTTTCAAAAAGGGAAAACATAATGCTATGAATAATTATCGACTTATTTCACTTTTGTCAGTGTTTAATTAACAAGATTTTAGAAAAATTGATGCATAAGAGATTGGTAAATTATCTTCAACAACTCAATGTTTTATATGATAAACAATTCGGCTTTCGGACAAATTATTCAACTAGTCATTCTATTCTATGTATTATTGACAAAATTCAACAATCAACCGAGGAGAAGAATTACTCTTGTGGAATCTTCCTTGACTTTAGTAAGGCATTTGACACTATTGATCATACTATTAATACTGATTCGAAAATTGGGAAGGTATGGTATTTGAGGAATAGCAAAGGAATGGTTTGATTCATATCTTACCAGTAGACAACATTTCGTGTCATTGAATAATATTTCTTCAGACTTATCAACAATAAATTGTGGCATACCCCAAGGAACAGTTCTTGGTCCACTGCTTTTTCTTTTATATATTAATGATTTCCACAGGTGTTCAAGAAACGTGGGCTTTCATCTCTTTGCTGATGATTCAAATTTTTTTATAAACATAAAAACCTTGTTACTCTTCAGTCAAATGTTAATAAGGAATTAATTATATTCATACCTGGCTTTGTGCCAACAAGTTGTCTCTAAATATGTTGAAATCAAACTTTAGTCTATTTCACTCTGTACAAAAAAGATTAGCCTAAAACATTAAGTTAGAAATAATCAGATATCTTGAAGTCTTCCTTGACTCAAATTTGAATTGGAAGAGAAGTATAGGTATGCTTTCCAAAATTCGTTACTATACTGACATCATTATGCATTAATATATCCATTTTTAACTTATGGTGTAATTACTTGGGGCATAACCTATTCTACCACATTGCATCCCCTATTTGTTTTGCAAAAAAAGGCTATATATACCTTTGATATTTTCGCAACTAATTATAAATATCGCAAATCTCCACTATGTTGTTTATGGACGTTGTCTGTCTAATTCAGTTAGCCTTTATGGTTATTTTAGGCAGATAGTACCCACACCTACCACAGTATATTAATAAAGTAAATAATGTAATGATTTATAACGGCTGAATAAATTCTTCCACTGTTCGTGACGTAATGGTAATTAGTGCATGTGCATTTTGCCTCGAGGTGACGGGCGGTTCCGTTCCCGCAATATGTAGGCTATTTAATTTCGTATTATGTAAATAAACATTAAAGATGAGGTCAAGTCTGTTCTGCGCATGTGCTATGTGAGGACTCTCTGGTGTAAACAGTACCCAAATTTCGCGTTATTTCGACATCTTCTAAATTGAAAGTCTAATCTATATTAATTTAGCAGCATAGAAAACCAGAACGATGTTAGATATTAACTAAGTACATTATATTTTATGAATATAATGTCTTCAAAATGTACATATAAACAAACCGCACTTCCGCTGAACGGACTTTTGACCGCCTCTTTAAAAAATAGGTACGCTGTAGCGTACATGGCGTCTACTGGATCAAAAACAAAGAATGTCAATGCCGTCCGGTTTATATTTACATTTCCGACTTTGGAGTGGGGAAGATTAAAATATCTCGGCAAGTATTTAGCCGCCCTTTAAAACGAAAACCTCCGTTGATTAAATCCTCATAAAATAACCTTTCGAATGGTGGGTCAAATGCCGTCATATTAAACATTACACAAACCAAAACAACCGTATATTTACTCACCGCTTGGCCAAACATTCTGCACTTCATATGGAGAAAAAATTGAATACCTTCTAAACTCTTCAGATTAAGTCAATAGGAGTGAAATACTCCTTGTATTCAAGCGCTTTCGTGTATGAGGCGCCAAATGTATTTTTATTATTTAAATAAATTACGAAGATATTTTGGATGATTTATTTTATTATATCATATAACCAAAATATCTGCTTTGGACAGTCTAAGGCTAAAGTACATAGCCATTGAAATATTTTATGAAATAAAAGCCCTAGAGTCTTATAAATTGCTATAGTTTTTAATAGCGACGTTTCGTAGCATTAACGCCCCGACTTGACTGGACCTAATGTAGTTCATTTTAAATTTTAAAATTTAAACATTGAAACCGTTACGGTCGACACAAATTGGCTTCTCACCTCGAGTTGTAGTCGAGTTTGCTTTCTTGTTTATATCATTGATTCCTAAAGGTTGACGGCGTTATTCGACACGACACAGCTCATTGCATAATTATCGGTCCACTCAAGTCGGGGCGTTCATAATACGATAAACTTTAAGAGTTTCATTCCTTGTCACGTATTTATATGTTGCCGCCTCCTATTTCATATCCCGCGCGTCTCCCACGCGCGTATGTATGTATGTATGTATGTAAAAATTTATTTAAAGACGCTAGCCTTGTCAACAAAGAGAGTTGATTTCCACAAGGGGCGTCGACATTTGAAAATTTACAAAAACTATTTACAAAAAAGACAAATATAAGTACAAATACATGCAATATATATAGTAATTAATTAGAATGGTTTAAAAGGAAGTTGGTGGTTTGGTGTGATTTGGCCATATAAATATGTCTGTAATAATCCATTTAGATTAATATTAGGTTAGTTACTTTGCCTTACAATATTTTTAAAAGAACATATTGATAGGGCTTCCTTAGCTTCACCAGGAAGATCATTCCATAGTTTAGCACCACTATATCGAAAACTCTTTTTCAGAAAGTCGCGTCTTGGCTTAGGAACGGCCAGATCATTCTAAGCATTTCTGAGATCGTAAGTCGTTTGCGAAATATTCCTTTTTATCAAAAACTCTTTCAAGTTCGGCGAACTATGGTCGTTTAGAATTTTATAAACAAGAGTTGCCTTAGTTAATTTTCTTCTAGATTCTAAATTGTCCCATTCAAGAGATTGAAGAACGTCAGCAGACCTGATCTCATAACCAGCACCAGCTATTATCCTAGCTGCTCGATTTTGAAATTTCTGCAAATTGTCTTTTAATGTTTTGTTACAAGTGTCCCAAAGGGGAGAACAATAATCAAAGTAGGGTTGTATCAAAGCGCTATAGATTGATTGCAGCATGTTTGCAGGAACGAATGGCTTGATGCGCCTTAACGTTCCAATACCTGCTGCAACCTTTCTGCAAATTACGTCAATATGCTCATCCCAACTCAACGTTTCATCAAGGGTGGCGCCCAAACAAGGTATTGAGGTTACCCTAGGAATTGGTTGACCATTTAACATTACAGGAATGTCATTATTTATCTTATGGAGATTATGTTTAGATCCTACGTACATTAATTTAGTTTTGGATGAATGGTGTTGCAATTTGTTTTGTTTGAGCCATTGACTTATGTTATTCAAGTCACTGTTCAAATTGAAAACGAGGTGCTGATAGTCATTAGCAGATGAAAAAATCTGTGTATCATCAGCATATAAGCACGGGATTGTATTCTTGAGATTATTTGGGAGATCATTAATATAAAGCAGGAATAGAAGTGGGCCTAAAATAGACCCTTGAGGGACTCCACAAACGAGATTTCTAGGTGTTGACATCATGCCATTGACAAAACACACTTGTTCCCTATTAGAAATGTAGGATTCAAACCATTTTAATTCGATATTTAAAACTCCAAATTGTTCTTTCATTTTACGCAATAAAATATTATGGTTAATTGAGTCAAACGCTTTCCGAATATCAAGAAAAACAACACCGTTCAAGTCTCCATTATCCATGTTAGTGTACCATGCATCGCACATTTGAATAAGTGCAGACAAAGTTGAGTTCTTTGGACGGAAGCCGGATTGATACTTAGAAAGCAGGGAGTTTTCATTTAGATATTTGTATAATTGGTTGAAGACTAAACGTTCAAAGATTTTACTTATAATTGGTAGAATGGAAATTGGACGATAATTTTCGCATTTTTGTCTGTCTTCAGATTTATATATCGGTAAAACCCAAGCCTTTTTCCATTCGTGTATTCGCGTATCCTGCGAACGGGCTGTCAGGTTCGAAAGGCGGTGCTTTTATATAAGCTAATAATAGATCTTAAAAAAATAAAAAACATACAAATACAAATCAACTTATATGTTGTTATTATATGTTCTACTATGGGAGTATTATTATTATTATATGACATATTAGTGTAATGTAATGAAATAATTCAATTAAAACACAGATCAACGCTTGGGCCGCTCTGTGCACTTGGCGAGCCAAATGATATCATAACGGTAGAAACACTCAGATGCCTACCCCTCCTGAACATGCCGAAGACAATTTTCCGAAATATTCCGAATTCTGATTCGTTCACGGAATTGCGCGTACAGAAGCTATCGGGCGGGCGATTGACGAGACGCTACATACAATCGCAGAGGTAAGGTATAAGGTTTTTCGTCGTTCATGAATATTCATTGGCCTAGTATGTCTTGTATAGTTGTATTCATACAAATATTTGTGTAATATTTTATACACATCATAGCATTGATGCCATTGCCTATTAATACATAAATACGCTCATATTTATAAATGAATAAAACGAATAAGCTCTTAGACGTTAATACCTCTGCGATTGTATGTAGCGTCTCGTCAATCGCCCGCCCGATAGCTTCTGTTAGACTTCTTGCAAGAGTACTTTGTTGACTTTGTTGACCCTAAGCCATATTTGCATACATACGCGCAATACCGCGAACGAATCAGAATTCGGAATATTTCGGAAAATTAATTATCTTTGGCATGTTCAGGAGGGGTAGGTACTCTGGCTGTTTCTACCATTATGACGTCATTTGACTCGCCAAGTGTGTAAAAATTATTTTGGTTATTTAATATAACGCAACAAAAATTGGTTATTTGATATAACGAAATTAAATCATGAACGCAAAAATTGGTTATTTGATATAACCAAATTAAATCATGAACGCAAAATTGGTTATTTGATATAACGAAATCACGTCAAGTTTATTATTTGATATCAGCGCAGAACGCAAATTGGTTATCTGATATAATAGAGTTCATTCGGCAAACGAGAATGTGGTTATTTCAAATAACCAAAGCAGATATTTGGTTATATGATATAACAAGACGCCTGCTCAGGCGTTCACACTGGCCTGAAAATGGCAACTTTCGTGGTACTGGGTGTAATGTGTATTTATATTATAATGTTAATGCCGTTATATGGCTAGTTTCAGGTGCTAAAAAGTTCATAGAATTTGCTTCCATTTATAAGATAAACTGATCCCAACCCAGTATTAGGGACTGGTCATAATTTAGCAGGAGGGGTGGGGAGATGGAAACAGTGGGGGGTCACATATTTTTAGCCAGGAAAAGGGGGGGAGTTCATAAAATATTAGACAGTTTATGAAGGCGGGGAGGGGGTCTGCTGGTTTAGTTCAATTAATTGTTTTATACATGCCTTCTCACATTTTGTTTGAGTTGCATTTAGTTTAATAGGCATTTCAGAAACAAAAATAGTTGTAAATAAGGAACCTATAGCTAATACGTCTATTCCTGGCTATCACTTTATCTCCCAGCCAACCATTAGTAATGCAGGTGGTGTTCGATACCTCAAGTTAGAACCAATTACGGGAAATTTAATATTAGATTTATTGGTCCTAAAACGTGGAATTTAGTCGACGAACTACTGAGCAACTTAGTAGATTGTCTTTTAAAAATGAACTAAAACGAAAAATAATTAATGAATATGAGGATTAATGGCAGTTTCGCCATTAAAATATTCTGCCATTTAAATCTCTTTTGAGTCTCTGTTTTTGTTCTATTGTGTCTGTTTTTATATCAGTTTTGTCTGTGTGTTTGAGCTAGCTAATTAAAATAAAAATTGTTCTGTAAAAATTCCCCAATTGTTCGTAAATGTATAATCTTTGCTTTTAATGGCCGCTTGTCTCGATTAGCCCCAATGGTTATTACAGGCGACCAGCACTACACCTATATGTTTATGTACTCTAATATAATTATTCATGTATTTATAATCAAATAGTGCTCAATAAAATTTCTTCTTCTTCTAAAGCGCAACTAGAAAATTAGAAAATTTAAAGTGCAATTAGAAAACTTATTGAATGCAGGGTTTAGTAGTAGGTAGGTACATATTTACTGACACGAGCAAGAGAGGGGGGCATTATTTTTCCGGGTTATGGCAAAGCAGGGTCACAAAATATCATTCCTCCCCACCCCCCTGATAAATTATGACCAGTCCCTAAACATCTAATAAACAATTTGAGAATTAAAAAAGTGGGGGGGGGGGAAAGTTGGATCTTGTTCCAAAAACAAATCGAACCGTATCACGTTTCACTTCGCCGCACGCAACGCCACCTCGCTGAATACAATCGAAAACATACATTTTATAGTAATATATGATGAATTAGAAAGTAATTTGGCGCAAATTAATGTAATTAGGTGCAAATTTATAATTATGCAAATAAATACAAGAGCACAACGCATGTTTATGAGCCTACAACGTATATTTTATACTTGTTAATTAAAAAGTCAAACTGTAAAACCTTTAACTTGTCTTTGTTTATATTCCACTATATTGTATAAATTCGCTGGGTCCAAATTTTGGGGTTTTCGAGTCGTTACACAAAGAAAAACACACTAATTCAACACGCAAGAAAGGCCAGAGTGCGACACACCGTAAAATCCATAGGAAAACCGGCACAATTCTTTGAAAATTCAACGAAACTGTGTGAAATATATATTAGATCGCTCAGTGAAAAGCCGCCATTTTGAAACTGAACTGAATATGTCACTGGAGCACGTTGCACCCTAAGCCTGCGATGACCTAACGCAAACTCGATTTCTCGTCGAAAAAAAAAACAGAAAAAGAGGGATTTAAGACACTTGGCCTACAGGCCAGTGTAATAAAATAAATCATCCAAAATATCCTCGTAATTTATCTAAATAATAAAAATACATTTGGCGCCTCATATTCGTGTAGAAAGTTTCGTTTGAATACGGCGGACTAGAAATATTTATTTTGAATTTTTCAGAATGTCGGGTTGTACGCGTGTGCCACACGCTAAAATTGGCGCAAATCACGCTACACAAAGGGGTAATTTGACCTTGAAAATCGATTTCCGACGTTTCCCGAGTGCCAGGATGTAAACATCGCATTGTTTCAATATGTCAAGCTCTGATGTCAAGTTGTATTCCGGTGGAAGCTCTCGCGTAAAATTTAGATATTCTGAAATACCGAAATAAAAGTTGCAAATCTGTAGATACAAACTTGAAAATAACACTCTAAATAGCGTCTTGGATTGTGATACGAACAAGAATATTACGAAAAAGATAGGTTGACAGAATGACAGGGGCCAAAGTTATATTCGGCGAAAGTTATGGCTTAGCTAGTGATACATTGTCGTACATTGTTTACATTGTTCGAATGTATTGTATATAGGTATGGTATGGCTAGTTTACAATTTACATTGTTCGAGTATGGCTAATTTATATTTTATGGCTATGTTACATTGTTCGAGTATATAGTATCTTTCAAACGGAATTTCTACTGCAAATACTCGCGGAGTTCTTTATAATAACGTCGGAAATCTCAAGGCCGGACGGCATTGATACAGTAAAACCATTTATCGTAAACAGTTCGGAAACTTTCATAGATGCGCGGGCTTTAACCTAACCAAAGAGCCTGTTCGTAGGAGAAGTGAACCGTCCACTCAGTATAACGATATAACTAAACCTCTTGTCGACAGCATATGGCGATTACTGTTCCAGTAGACGGCAACATGTGATTTTACATACAGCAATGAGCATTGCTTTTGAAAGAATACAGTATAGTCGAGAAAGATCACATAGTCCGAAAACGCGACCGGATGGAAACATAACACGTGCAGTACATTGTTTTCTCCGTTTATTTCATCCACCACTTTAGCTGAGAAAAGTACGTGTAGTTTTCGCGGGTGTCACGTGATACGAGATGTAAACATTGTGGACCTTCGTTCTGTTGTGTACATCGGAGTTAACATGGCGATTCTGTTGTTTGTGATTTGATTTGAATTGCAAGTTTAACTTGTAACTATTGTGCATTGAGTGAGTGACATTCATTGAATGTGACTGGCCTCAAATATTTACAAGAATGAGTCATGGAGTAGATGAAATCATTAAGATTCCGGACCAATTCGAAGTTTTTAAAATCAAATTACCTTTTTATCTGAATTCTCACGATTATTCTTGACAGTTATTTCGAGCCAGTGGCGGACACACTGGAAGAGGGGGGGGGGGGGCAACATTTTCAACGAAGGAGGCAAGATTTTCAACCATGGAAGCATGGGTAGGCTATAAAGTAATCACATTTGCATGATATTTAAGGCATAAACGGTTTAAACAATTGGGATTTATAGCAAAATCTGCAATCAGTAGTGTCTTTATGTCAACAACCAGAAATACCAATATGAGCTCCACCTTTGAATTTACTACAAGTATAGGTTATTTTGAGGCACCTCGGGGATATGTGTTTATTCACCTCGGCGCTTTCACATTGCGAGGTCGCGTTAATGAGCCCAGAATAGAAATAATTCTTAATGCCATATTCATGGCAAGAAATTTTGGACATTTGCCTATTAAACCAGAGCTCGTCCCCAGTCCCCAGAAATTTCAGCGATAAATGGCTGAAAATCGCCAAAATTATGAACAAAACTGAATATTAGAGATTATTTTTATTGCTTTTCTAAAAAGTAGGAACGGATACATAAAATATGTTCATAATTCTATCTATAAACGTCAAAATTTGCCGAAAAATGAATAATATGCTAGGGGCAAAATCGTTTCGAAACTTTGTAATCCGATAGAATAAATCTCTATATTGTGACGCGAAATAGGTGCGCGGTCAGACGAAAAAGCGGCATATCCCAATCGGAGCATGCGTAGTCTCAAAAGTAGGAGCAAATTCAGAATCGCTTCACTGTGACGAGCATTTCGATACTAAATTATTGTTGTTTCGTCCTAAATATCTGGGGGCAAAATGCGTATTTCTTCAACCAAGTCTGCGTGTAAACACAGGCGCTATCTGCGCATTTGGTCGTTCGTATATTGCCTGGTTTTAAAGAATTCTCGCTCGACTGGACGTATAATTAGCACATCATAATGCCTAAACCAAAGATAAACGATTGCGCAGCATATTTCTTGAGTTTTAGAGTCAATAAAAGGATGCTAACGTTGTTTGTTGTTGTATATGTAATCTCGCAAAGGCCAACACTACAGACCGCTGTGGGAGATCTGGCCCGATGTATCGTATTTCTTGATATAGCAGTATTTGCATTTTATTATATATTATATCCCTCCATGCGTTTATTTGGACTTTATATCTATTTTTATATCAATTCAGACCTAAAAATGATCTAAATTTGAAATGCTTGTCTATGTTTGATATGCGCGTTAGAGTATATCACTGCATATGTCCTACTTATATGGGCAATTTATTGGTATGGCCTTCGTTATGTTGTTTTTTCCCATTTTTTGTGCTGCAAAGACATTGCAGGTGAATATTAGAGGGGATTATTAAACGGAAATTGATTAGAGGGGAATATTGAATATATTCCCCGATAAGAACACGGGAAACCGAGCAGGGTGAAAAATAAGAGTAAATTGTTATACAGGTCCGAAATTATCAATACGATAAATTCGCGACACATGTTGAAATTATCAATACAATAAATTCGCAATTTCACATGAAACTACAATCATTAGACAAGAATTTTTGTTATAAATGTAATAGTCCGTGTGTTGTGACCCGATATCGTTCACTTTCATTAAGCATGTCTCAGATCTGAAATATTTTGACGGGAACTAACACTTTCAAGCACGCTGAGTTCAAATTTGAAAAGTTTGCGCTCCGTAGACCCGCAGTTTTCTCACAAAATGCTATTTTATCTTCAATAATTTCCCAACAAATTTTTCATTGTTCAACGACACGGATCGATGACGATACACGATCATGTCACTCAAAAGGATCAATTTCTATTAACCAGTTTTCCTTTTAACAAAAGACCGGTTTTACTCGAATCATTTTGAGTTATGTAATCTTATGCGTGTTGGACGTAAACAACATATCTTGTCTACAACTTTGAGAAAGTACAGATAACGCTTTCTAAAATCCTCAGTTGTAGAGATATCTCCATACTAAATCACAAGAACATTAATGCGAAGTCTTTTTGGCTATATGTCACTGGCCTGAAAAATACTCGTTTAAAGGTCCATACACACCGGACGCGATTCGACAACGCGACGCGACTTTTCGATTTTCACTGACCGATAACTTTGATCCTGGTTAACATTTTCCAAATATTTAGTAGCGCTATAACATTTTGAGTTATTTGGTCTACATATCTTTCAAAATTTCCTCTCATTGGCTCAAGGTCATTTAAAACAAAAGTAACGCGAAGCCAACGGCAAAGCCATTAACGCTAAAATGAAATATTGTCGATTGATTGCTGGTAGAACACTTACGACAGGATCAATCTTAAATAGAGTTAAACTAGAAGAATAAATGTTCACATCAAAGACAAAGATCAGTCCCAAAGTATAAAATATGCTCAGTAAACTCGCGACGAAGTGGAGAAAAGTCTGCATGAGCTGTTTATTTGGTGATTTCAACGTATATGGAGGCCCTCTTTCCAATAATATTCACTCATCGCATAGTATAACACTGCCAACTGATGTAATAGTTCAAATGCAATGATAAGTTATCTCTTGAATTACGTTTCGGAAACTGTGTTGAAAATTTAAATGTTGATCCATTACATATAGATTACCGTTTTACATCTTTGTATAAAACATTTTGATCGCATGTAAGGAATTATTTCTCAGCCCAGAGACCCAAAGACTTAACATTAACGTCCTTTTAAAGTTTGTTCGTTCACTGCAACCAGGTAAATCAATCATGTTTCGCGCGCTACTCTGGTTTAAATAAATGATTACAAAGCCCAGTGGAATTGTAATCAAGACCCAACGTTTCGACACTCCAGTCTAGTGTCTTGATCAGGGGTGATCTAAAGATGCAATCGTGGCTTCTTAAATACCCAAGGGATGACATCACCTGCCAATGAGATGCATGTATTCCTCTGGCAAATAGGCAACGTCATCCCTATTCAAAGCATGATTACTCATATTTATATGCCACGCTTCTAGGCAAAGTCAAAGACCACGCTTCTAGGCAAAGTCAAAGACTTAAGGTTCGGTCACACGGAGCGACAAGTCGCAGAGGCATGTTGCAGGGACATGTCGCCCGAAACGAGTCACACGAAGCGACAATGCTAGGCGAAAACAAGTCGCACAAGCGCTTATAGGCGCGTGGTCACACGAGGCGACAATTCATGCGACAAGTCGCAGTGTGCCGAAACCTGGGTACGAAGTGTTCATGTAAACAAATATGGCGTCTCAATTGACTCGACACCGTAAGAAAACAATTTTATTTATACTAATGATGATAATTGATGATCATCCTTCAGTTACAGTTGAAAGGAAAACTTGGGCTCGAAACCAGTGAAGTGAGTGAACTATATACATGGAAGACTGACTTCAGTCATTGCAGTGGCGTAACGTTATATCAGGGGGCCCCCGGTTCAAAATTTTCGAAGGCCCCCCTAGTACTAGAGGTGCCAAAGGCACGAGTCGAGCGCCGTATATGCACGAGTTTTCTAGGGGGTCCAGGGCATGGTCATCCGGAAAATTTTTTAATCTAGACTCTCTGAAATGCCATTTCCTGGACTTTGGGGAGAGATTTTACAGAATTCTGATGGTCATAAAACGACATTGTAACATATCAGAGGCCCTGGCCAATGTTTTTGCCCTATCGCCTAAGCCTGGGGGCCCCCATTTGGGTTGGGGGCCCCCGGGTTCACCCGGTCTGAGCCCATAGTAGTTACGCCACTGAGTCATTGACGTAATCAAAAAGTGAAGCCAAAGATGGCGGATTTTGAAGCCATTCTTGCGCGTCATTCTCAGTCCCCTACCCGCGCGGCCAAACATTTTTTGTATTTTCATGGCGGGAAGTGATGGGTCCGCGATTCTCGGGTTGTGTTTTTCTTCATTTTAAAAGAGCAAAAGAGGAAATAAACTTCATTTATTTCATGTAAACCTGATTTCCTTCATCTACTCGATCTGTCTACTGCATTTTCCCACTGTATGTGTGAGTAAATCTGTATTTTTCGTTGCGAATTCAACAACTAATTTCAAACTTTTTTGTTTTTTTGATATAAAATCTGTATTTTTATAAATTGGCAATTTACTTTGCTTTGGTTGTTTCGTTTTCTTGTTTCTATGGTACTTTTCAGTTTTCACACCATTATTTAGCTTATTTTATTCGGTTTTCCTGACCTAAAACTGCTTTTTAACTGCAGTTTTCGAGGCAGTTTTTAGCCAATTTAATTCCATACATGTAAGAAAATTTTGTTTTTTTATTTTCTATTTAATAAAATCACTTTGATGTTTGCCTTATAAACTTAAACTGTTCATTTTAATGAGTTATTCATGTGTGTGAAACTCTTGTCGATAGGGGCAATAGAGATATTTTGAAAGATTGAGTGACTTTGTGTTTTGTTTTGTCACTCCTTGTCATTTTACAAAAACAGCAATCCCGCGCTATTTTGCTTTCTTTCCACTCAAATATCACATCTCCTAAACAAATAATAATTAAAATTAATAACCGAACCCAAACAAAATACCAGAATTCAACTTTTCATTCAAATTTCGTCTGTTTTTCACCAGATTTTTACTCGGAAAGTAAAGAAAAATATAAAAGTTTTGTTGACCGCGCACGTAAGGGGACTGAGAATGACGCGCAAGAATGCCTTCAAATTCCGCCATGTTGGCTTCACTTTTTGAGCTCGAGTCAGACTTCCATGTTATATAGTTCAGTGCTCGAAACTTGCACTCCATGATGATGTGGTATCCGCCATGTTGAAATTGAGCGTGCAAGTAGTCATGGGAATGATATTTTGTGATTGGTCAGACTAATTATTTCCCCGCGATTTGTGAACAGACTAGCTCACACGATGCAACAAGTCGCGGCAACGGTTTTTTTCCCCGCGACACGTCGCATGAAATCAAATCAATTTGATTTCATGCGACATGTCGCGGGCACAATTTTTTTGACCCCGCGACAACGCTTACACATGTGACACACGATGAAATTCGACCCCGCGACATGTCCCTGCAACATGCCCCTGCGACTTGTCGCTCCGTGTGACCGAACCTTTAATTTGCCTAGAAGCGTGGCATATAAATATGAGTAACCACGCTTTGAAGACGGGGCCAATTTGCCAGAGGAATACATGCATCTCATTGGCAGGTGACGTCATCCCTTGGGTATTTAAGAAGCCACATTGCATCTTTAGATCACCCCTGATGAAGACACTAGACTGTAGTGTCGAAACGTTGGGTCTTGATTACAATTCGACTGGGCTTTGTAATCATTTATTTAAACCGAGTATAGCGAGCGAAACATGATTAACGACCTTGTGATTTTATAGAGATAGATCCTGAACTAAGGATATTAGAAGGAATTATCTGTACTTTCTCAAAGTTGTAGACAAGATACGTTTTTTACGTCCAAGACGCATAAGATTGTATAACTCAAAATGATTCGAGCAAAACCGGTCTTTTGTTAAAAGGAAGAATGTTTAATAGAAATTGGTTCTTTTGAGCGACAAAATCGTGTATCGTCATCGATCCGTGTCGTTGAACAATAAAAAATTTGCTGTGAAATTAGTGAAGATAAAATAGCAGTTTGTGAGAAAACTGCGGGTCTACGAAGCGGGAACTTTTCGGATTTGAACTCAGCGTGTTCGAAAGTGTTAGTTCTCTTAAAAATATTTCAGATCTAAGACATGCTTAATGAAAATCGTTTTCTAGGCACTTTTCAGGTCACAATACAGGGAATAATTTCGGACGTGTTTAACGATTTACTCATATAGTAAATTCAAAGGTAGAGCTCATGCTGAGAAATGCATGTACGTATGCAACAACCCCTCACGTATATTTTCCAAACATTGTTTCAACATGAAGTATTCTTAATTTTACGCCAACACCATAGTATTTTTAATTTTACGCCATGAACGTTAGTCACGCGCTCGCAATCATTGATGAACTTTTCAATATGCTAATTTTCATTTTCCGGGTGTAAATAACCGAGCGGACTTAATTCCCTTGCCACGAGCTTCGCCCTACGCGTGGCTTTGGAATAATTATAGTTTGTTATAATATTTCCAATACTTTTCTATTTCAGCCTAAACAAACATGGACGGATCAATGGTGTTCTATACAACGCAAGTGTGGAATCGGAATCTAAAGGTGATTGCACCCCCGACGAACTTGTTGCGTTTTACGATGCGTCGTGTATACTTTCGAAAGGACTACATGACCCAAACAATGTGATAGACATTCATTTGAAGTCAGGTCAAATCGCAATGTTTCACAATATCAGAATTTTACATGGAAGAACAGCATTTGAATCAACTGCAAGGGAACGTCAAGCAAGATGGTTGCAGGGTATATATTTTGACTGGGATGTGGTATTTTCAAAACTCCGAGTGCTGCAGAAAAATCTTGGTCTTAAAACACCATATTTACCGGAGCAATCTGATGACTTTTTCTGAACTATGCATGCACGAGTTTTTCTGCCCACAAATTGACCCAACTCAATTCCTCGACCGATCGCCGAATTTATAGTTGAGTGTATATGTACAGTTATATTCTAGAGAGGGTCTCCCCAATTATAGATTCTGAAATCCTTGAATTTTTTAAATGCAACTTTTATACAACTCTTAAAGCCTGATAGGTAATTTGAGCCAAAAAGTATCGATGAGATTTGACTAAATTTATTTTTGGGAATACTTGTGGGATACAGTGTCTGTGATTGCATATCAGGGGCGCACATCTAAGGAATTTCTAGGGGGGTGTGGGCCACTTGGGGACCGACTTTTTGATATTCAAAAAGAAATTAAACAGAAGGGTAAAAAACAATTTTGCAAAGACATCATGCCACAGAACAGGGACGTGGGAATGTATTTGAAATCAGGGGATCAAGTCCCACGAGGCGCCACCATGGTTGGCGCCGAGCGAGAAAATTTTCAACAACAGAACCTCTAGGTCGCCAGAAACGACCATTTCAGAGTCTTAACTCTACCTAAATTTCGGCTCGTTCAGGTGTACGAACGAAGGATTAAGAAAATTCATCCCTTATTTAATAGTTCGCTCAATTTCTGCATTTGTTCAATCTGTTCCAGATCAATAGAATCAGATAAGTCTTTCTGAACTGAAGAATCAAATCATGTGTATAGGCCTATGAGCTCGCGTGTGAATACCAGGACGTGTTTATTAGTAATGTGTATGAGCTGTCATGAGAATATCCGTTCGCAGGCCACAGGTGCGAAATCGGATAGTAGCAGAGAGAGAGACGAGTTTATTTCTTCGAATATAATTGTTACTTTCGTCCGTCCATATAAAATACTGAAAATAATGAAAAATAGAAGTGTATAATAACAACTAGCAAAACAATGAAATCAAGATAATAAATAATCTGAATTAACCATCTAAACCTTAGCGGGTGCGCTACGATTTAACGTTTAAAAATCAAGAAATAGTTTCTTACACATTAACACATACACATAGGCTTGTTCATAACATCTTACCAACCAGCTCTTGTGTTGTCGGTTCCAATTCACGGAGTCGGACAGAAGTAAATATTAATTCTTATACCCGAATTTTGGGACCGAGTTTTCGCACAGTATCAAGGAAGAATGGGACCGACTTTTAGTGATATTCGGACGCTAAGGGGGGGTTCGCACCCCCCCCCCCCCAAACCCCCCCTAATGTGCGCCCCTGTGCATAATGTACAGTGCACTGCCTCGTACCCATGAGGCGCTTTAAATAATTATAACACTTGAAGTATTCATGCAGGCAGGCAACGCGCAAAGGTGCTGTTGGGAAGGGTGCGTCTTGGGGAGCGCCTGGCAGTTCTTGTATACTGTGATGGCGGACAAACATGGAATTTAATACAAAACGTTACCATGCATATCGTCATATATTATTATTATTATTATTATTATAATTCATTTATATAGCGCCATTTCCCATAGCTCAATAGCGCTTAACATTAAGTGTTAAAAATATATACTAAGTGTTAGAACATAGTACATGCATTGACTACTAAAATTACTATACTATAAAATTACTAAAAAATAATTATATGCTCTTCTCGTTAAGAGTACTTATATAGAATACTATAAAATTGCTAATAATCTTGTTAAAATAATAACTTAGTCATAATACTGTTTAAAAAGATGTGTCTTTAATCTGGTTTTAAAAATAGGCAAGGTCTCACTCTTTCTAATACACTCTGGCAATTCGTTCCACAGTTTCGGTGCAGCATATGAGAACGATCGTTCACCATAGTTCACTAGTTTTACTGAGGGTATGGTAAGCAATCCTTTTGATGAGCAGCGTAAATTTGCTGATGGTGTGTAAGGTTTTAGCATATTATTAATGTAATGTGGAGCTGAGCCATTCAGAGATTTATACGTAATAAGAACAATTTTATAGATGATGCGTTGACTGATGGGGAGCCAATGTAATTGTTTCGTTAATGGAGTAATATGATCGTATTTTTTGCTTCCTGTCACCAGTCGAGCAGCACAGTTTTGCACATTCTGTAACCGATCAATAAGAAATTTAGGCAATCCGTATAATAAAGAATTACAATTATCCAGTTTCGATGTAATAAAGGCATGAACTAAAGTTTGGATATCTGATAAGTACTCTTTTATTCTTGCTATTTTTCTCAAATGGAAAAAACAGTTCTTGCAAATATTGGTAACATGTTTATCCATAGACATGTGGTGGTCGAAAGTTACACCAATGTTTCGTGCTGAAGTACTTGGTTGATATATACTCTGACTGTGTGTAAAACCTTACTTTTTGGTGAAGAGTTGAATTGAATTGAATGCAATTGGCAAGTTATAATAAATTTGTAAATGTTTGATGACATGCAAAAAGCGACATGCAAAAAGCGCTAAAAAGTATGAGTAAAGTACATGGCAAGTTAACCGTGTGAATATTTTCGAATATATAGGTATTTCGGTATTTAAATAAAAGTTCATTACAACAGTGCAATTTTATATTTTATACCTTTATATAGTCATAGCTTGCAAATGTAGTTCCTGCAAGTCTAGTTCGTCAACCCTTCGGTTGTTGACATGTTAATATTCCAAGACTTTAAATAAGGCATATGTCATATATATCAAGTCTTTATTTCAATACTCAAAGCAAACGTCTGAATTAGATTGTTACTGTTATTTACATCAATTTTTAGTACTTTAAAATTCTAAGGTATAAGAATATAGATATATAGTTTATATGAAATTGAAAAGACATCTATTTATAAACGCGTTTTTGAACCTCTCAGTTTTAACAATTGGTAGTTCAAAGTCATGACCTCTCCGTCTTAAAGGTCGATTTAACTTACTAGGTAAAAGATTGTGTAAAGCATTCTTATCATCATTTATAATTCTTGACCATAATTTCTTGTCTCTGTTCGATATTGTTGCTTTAAAATCTGATATGTTGCTTGTATAACCACTTCTATAGGCACGATTGACAAACTTATCAATCTGACTTACGTATTTGTTGTACGATGCTCCACCCCAAACTTCGGCTGTAAAGGTGAAAAGAGAGACTGTAAGACTATTGAAGCGAAGATCCAATTGATGCGTAGAGATGCATTGAGTTACAGGCAGAAAGAACATGTCATGTGTAAAATTTATTGTAAAATAAGTTACTATACAACGTTTCTAGCTTTTCTCGTTCTCGAGATATTTTAGTCTCATTTGATATGTAAATGAAATAAATCTATGGCATTTATATACAAGCGATATATACAATAGTCATAAAAGACATGATACGCGATAATCAATGTATATGATCCCACTCAATTGCACAAGAGTAAAAACTTAGGATACCTTTCGGAGGTCGTCGGATATACTCGTCACTCAAACTTGTAAGTCATGATGTAGTTTTTAACTGCCAGGTAGAGAAGTGAGAGAACTTAAAGCGTAGATACTGTACCATGCATTAAACATACTCTTAATAAACCTATTATTATTATATTATTTTATTAGAATCTAGTTTTCCGTGAAATTGCTTTTTTAAGACATATTGTTGAATCGTGAAACGGCTTTTTTTGTGTGAAACGTGACCCATATCTCCCTTTCCCACCCTCCAATAAAACTGACACAATAATACAAATATGTGTCAGCGCAATAGTGCGTTTATGTCAACGATTTACATTTCGTAACATAGCACGTACAAAATATTTTATTTAGATTTTAGCATTATATAGCTGTATAATTCTCTGCTATATGGGTTGCCAAAACTCATGATTGATCGATTACAAAATGTGCAGAACAGTGCAGCGCGTTTGATAGCAAGACGTAGAAAATTTGATCATATCACCCCTGTTATGAAAGAACTGCACTGGTTTCCCACCTACAAAGCTCTAAATGGTCTTGCACCAAGCTACATTAGGGATATGCTACAACCGCACAAATCAACAATGAATCTACGTTCATCGATGAAAGGACTACTCTCACCCCCCATAAAGTTGATCAACTATGGTCAAAGATCATTTTCATATGCAGCACCAAAACTATGGAATGAACTTCCAGATTCAGTACGACATAGTGAATCAATATCTATTTTTAAAACAAAATTGAAGACATATCTATTTAAACATTTTTATAAGTAATTGACACTATATAGTTTTACCAATTTTAACTATTGCTAGTTGTATCTATCTAACTGAATTTTTATCCTATTCACTTCTTATATTGACTTTTATATAGTAATTGTAAATAAACTTAAATTTTTAAATGGATTGATGTAAATATATTAAAATTTTCTAAATACTGTAAAGCGCCATTGAGCTATAGGAAATGGCGCTATAGAAATACATATTATTATTATTATTATATGGCGGTTTCAAAATGTATAAATTGTAAGAGTTTGGATGCAATTCAACAATGGGACATAGCTCGTTGCCAAATTTGCGTAGACAGATTTATTGCGTTTATAGAATGTGTTGAAAATGTTATATTATTACTAGCTGTAACTGTTTGCTTACAAGGGTTAAGAGTACATAAAAGCAACATACTGCATGGGGTTACCAATATTTTTAATATTTACTCAAACATCTGTACTTATCGACTCTTAGGGGCCGATTACATGGAGCATTTTCAACCCCGGGGTTGAACTCAGCCCTGTATACCGGGTTGAAATTTCAGCCCTGTCTGTAATACAAAACTCTATGAAAATCAAACGCGCGATTACATGACAAAATTTTCAACCCAGGGCTGAGTTCAACTCAGGGGTTGAAATTTCAACCCTGCTTCAGCTAGCAGGGTTGAAATTTCAACCCCGGGGTTGAACTCAGCCCTGGGTTGAATATTTTGTCATGTAATCGTTTCAACCCAGAGCTGAAATTATCATGAGTTATTCGAGCATACGTGGTAGTGACTATTTATTACAAGAAAACAAAATAAAGGCTTTTTTACTTCCGGGAATCGATGCCGAGAACGTATAGTATAGCGTTTCAACGCCGGGGTTGAAATCGACCATGTAATCGAAAAAAAACGGTTAACAGGGCTGAGTTCAACCCCGGGGTTGAAAGTTCTCCATGTAATCGGCCCCTTACTTTGTTTACAAACTTTCAATAAAGTGAATCAACACATTTCATTGTATTTTTAGGTGTTTACATGTAAATGTGTCAATCATGATCGTTAATTATTGCAAAATGCAAAGTGGGCGGATGGCGATTTTGACAACATTTTCATCAGACTTACATTTCGCCCTTTCCGTCGACCCGCGAATTTTAGGGCGGGTGAAACGTAGGTCTGTTTTCAGGCTAACAGGAAGTTAAACAGCAAGCAGGCGCTCTTTCCCCACAAACTTGGAAACCTTAACTGAGCCAACTTTATAAACAAAGACTTTGTTTATAAAGTTGGCTCAGTTAAGGTTTCCTCCTGTAGCTAGTAACAGTACTGCACCAATGAAGGGTGGTCCTTATATTGGACCTTTAAGGAGAAGAGTTTAGAACTGATATATACTGTAGTATATAAGCTAACTTTAATATAAGGTTTCCTATAGATCCTGCAGCGCTATAGCTTAGTATACATAAAAGGCTTTTAAGCCTTCAATTTAATGTATTAAAATACTTAAAAGTACCGTATTTTTTACAATAAATGGCTGAAGAGTGAAGTATTTTGTTTTTAATTTTCTTTGTTCAGAAAAAGGGCGGCAAAAAATTTTCCTTCCTATCTGTAGTCCCCCACAAACTTGCAATAATATATATTGTATTCTATTTGGGTCTACAGGGTGTCTAAAAAAAAACGCTATGGAAATTCAACAAGCTATCGTGCATCACAAACTTAGCTAAACACTTTAATTTTTACATAGGACGAAAAGCTGTTATTTAGCTTTTCTACAGTGTGTATAAAAAAAACTGAACCTTTCAAATTCAAATTAGCTATAACGTATTGTACAGGTAGTAATTTGACAGCTCTAATTGCTTTGAATTAATGGTTGGGTAAGAACACAAGGTCCTGTACTCATGGGACGAAACTCAAAGAAATAAAAATTAGAAAATTTAAAAGTTTTTAAGAGTTTTGTCTCATGAGTACAAGACCTTGTGTTCTTACCCAACCATTAATTCAAAGCAATTAGAGCTGTCAAATTACTACAATACATTATAGCTAATTTGAATTTGAAAGGGTTCAGTTTTTTTTATACACCCTGTATGATACCTTTCTTAAACTATAATGGCCATATACTCGTCAAATAAAAAGTTTCGGTCGAAATCACATTCTTCCACCGTTGGGAATTGAAAAAACATTAATTATGCAAAGTTAATCAATCCAAAAGCAACGCGAGCGTGCTGCAAGGTATTTGTTTCGTAAAACGTTTTGATTACGAATGTTCTCTGTTCAGTGGTTAATTAACCATGTTTAATGCAATAATCACGTTTTTATTGTCTCACTAAGACGAAGGTTGACGAGTTGAGCTCATTAACATTTTAGATCATTTAACATTCAACTTTAATTCCCTCTTGGGAATTATCTATGTTTCATTTTCCAATTCCCAACGGTGGAAGAATGTGATTTCGACCGGCAATTTTTATTTGACGAGTATGTGGCCATTTCTCATCATTACGATTTAAAAAAGGTATCATTGAAAAGGTAAATAACTGTTCTTTCGTCCTATGTAAAAATTGAATTGTTTAGCCACGTTTATGATGCACCACAGCCGGCCCATTGAATTTCCATAGCGTTTTTTTTAGACACCCTGTACAACTTGCGAGGCACCCAGATATATGCGAATCACACATGCATGAATAAAATGAATACATTGAAGGAAACATTTTAACATTTAAGTTCCTATTCAGGTAAAATTCTTTCACATCTCACACCCCAGCTGCAGATGCTTCGCAAAATTTCTGAATATATATCAGTTATATATACATGCTTCTCAACGAAAATCTGCCCCCTTTACCATCTCGCCGTTGCGAAGTGCAGCGTTTACTGTATAAGAAAAATAACGATTAGGGTTTGTTTTTGCGAAGAAAATACTGGAGGTTAACGGTTAAAGAGAAAAATATATACGGTCGACGGTTTGCGGAACGACCGACCCCGTATAATAGACCCCCAATATATCAAGTATCAACAGTCCTCAATAAAATATACCGGCCGTATATCGATTTCTTTCTTTATTTGCCGTATTTCCATTTGATTTTTTGTCAGCAAGTCCAAAATTAACCCAGCATAAGACCATGTTACACGGTGCAATTTTTCTTGCAACTTGCAATGCAATTCTACTCTTGGGAGATTTAAAATTGCCAAACTATTCATTACACTGCGCGGATGTTTTCTCAACATATCGAAAATTCTTCACTGATTTCACTAATTAACATCTCTCAAGAGTAAAATTGCATTGCAAGTTGCAAGAAAAATTGCACCGTGTAACATGCCTTTACGTGAGAAATTAATTTGAACTAATGATGGACGAAATTTCAAAGGGATTTTTTTGGATTCCCGATTTTTGACACATATTCCCGATTTTCGACACGTTATATGGTATAGGCCCTTCGTCTTTTGCTATACGTTTCTAAAAGTGGCCGCAAATTTGCACCGCCCGCAAATTTGCCCGGAAAAGGGGCTGCTGAGGAGGCAATCTTATCGCTAAAATTATTTGATTGTCTGAGTTGACAATACTCAACAGTGAATTTGAATTGCAAATGTTTATTTTCTGTATTACCATTTGCAAAACACAACAACTTATCTAGACCAAGCCTTTCTCTTTTGATTTCCTATACAGGGTGTATAAAAAAAACTGAACAGATTTGAAATTGCTCTCAATTTCTCAAAACAGCTATTTGCCTATTAGTATCCAGTTTTTAATATATATATAGCTTCTTTGGGTACTTATAATTACGATGGCCGAGAAGGGCCATGACTGTAAACACTCGCCGTTTTTTTTTACCATTACACTCGTAGTTTTTTTTTCCTTCAAAATTACACTCGCCGTTTCTTTCTTCAGAATTACACGCGACGTTTTTTCAATGCAATAATTACACGCGACGTTTTTCCAATGCAATAATTACACGCGATGTTTTTTCAATGCAATAATTACACGCGACGTTTTTTCCAAAAAATACACTCGCCGTTTTTTTAGAGTTACGTTGTTAAACTGAGGGTTTCATTTCGGATGAAGATGGGAGCAATCATAAGGTTAGTGTATTTCATCAAAACAAAAATCATGTAAATACAGTATAAAATTTCACTTTCAGGCGGTTAATTAATTAATATGAATATAATGCATTGTTTTCTTTTGTGTTTCCCAAACTAAACAAAATCTTTGTGTATTTCAGCAGCGTTGCTATATATCCCAGTGCCACATGGAAGAAAGTTATTTCGCTGACCTCAGAATGACATTTCGTCGAAACTTTTTTCGGTTAGGTTAGGGACAGGATTAGGGTTAGAGTTGGTGTCAGGGCCGTACTTTTTTCACCAGGAGGCAGTAGGCAATATGCCGAAAAAGTCCCAAATATGCAAAGAATAATTAATATGGCATTCGAAAAATCGTAAATATAGTTTTCTCTGGGGGCAGTTGCACCTGCCTCCCTCCCCGCTGTGTATGGCCCTGGTTGGTGTTTGGAATAGGGTTAGTCTTAGTAAAACCGTTGCTTTGTTACGTTTTGTCACTCTGAGGCCAGCGAAATAACCTCTTCACATATTGCCGTAACACATGTACAACCGCCATGATTTCTTGTTGATTTTGTTGCATCACTGCAGGCGTATATATGATATGGCAAGACACAGTTCAATATATGAAGAAGTGCAACAAGGAAAATAAATATATGACCCTGGCAAAACACACAAAGCTTTTGTTTATATAGTTTGGAAAACACAAAAGAAAACAATGCATTATATTCATATTAATTAACCGACTGAAAGTGAAATTTTGTACTGTATTTACATGATTTTTTGTTTTGATGAAACACACTAACCTTATGATTGCTCCCATCTTCATCCGAAGTGAAACCCTCAGTTTAAAACATAACTCTAGAAAACGGCGAGTGTAATTTTTGGAAAAAACGTCGCATGTAATTATTGCATTGAAAAAACGTCGCGTGTAATTATTGCATTGAAAAAACGTCGCATGTAATTATTGCATTGAAAAAACGTCGCGTGTAATTCTGAAGAAAAAAAACGGCAAGTGTAATTTTGAAGGAAAAAAACGACGAGTGTTATGGTAAAAAAAACGGCGAGTGTTTACAGTCATGGCCCTTCTCGGCCATCGTATATAATGTAGAATAATGGAAAAATTTCTCGAACTCAAATTTTGTAAACCAGGGGCCGGTTGTATAAAACTCTTAATCACTTTTTTAATCACTATTTTGTAGTTAAATAGTGATTAACTCTCAAATAGGCTCTTCTTATTCGATGACATTTCCACTTAACTATGATTAACTTTAATCACTTTTTTATACAACCGGCCCCAGGGGGGTGTATTTTTTCCCAACAAACTAAAAATAGCTTGCGCACGAAATTTGAAAGCCTTTATATATTTTGAGTTAATGGTGAAAATGTGTTGGGTGTTCAATTCATTCAATTGCTGCACGAAATTTCAGTTTAAACCCTTTAAATTAACTATTGAAAAAATAAATAGTGAAAAAATAACAATAAAAATATTTCACTAAGTAAAAATAATAATAAATGCTAAATTGGAGGAAGAAAAAGACGGTGCTGCTGTTCACACGAAACCGCCAAACGCTCCGTTTTCATCTCGCCTTTCATCTCTCAAATTGTTATGGCAATAGTAGTATATCATATACAACTCGAGTTCGCAGAATGACTGTTAAATATCCCGCTAGCAGAGAGCCAATCAAATTGCAGAATAGCTTATAACCGGTAGTTGTCTATAATAAAGTGTTTTATTAGTAGACTACAGTACGTTCAAACTACGCCGGAGCGGAATAGTGACGCCGCGTTTTACGTCTGTTCACACTAGCCGTTTGAGCTCCGATACGGTTTCGCAAAACGAGCTTAAATAGTGAAAAATAACAATAATTCGTTAAAGTAAAAATAATAATAAATGCTAAATTGGAGCAAGAAAAAGACGGTGCTGCTATGCACACGAAGTCTCCAAGCGCTCCGTTTTCATCTCGCTTTCATCTCTCAAATTGTTACGGCAATACTCCATGAATAGTAATATTTCCAAACAATTTTGCTCATGCGTCGTGACAATGTCGTGTGAACGCGACGGCTCAGTGTGACTTTCTACGCTGCTTTCAAACCGCTCCGATGTAGGTAAAACACCTGCTGACGGACATTCTTTCAAGTTTACAGTTGAAACTGGGATTTGGTAAAAAAATGGTTAGGAAATGGAAT